CAACAAAAATGTATATATACATATATCTGCGATGAAATTTTGTAAACAATAAACAAAATTTCGATTTAAGAATATAAAAATATAAATTTAGTCTCCATGAAAAAAAAAACTTCTTTTCTTTTAAACAAAATATTTATATCAAAGTTGTATTTAACATTCGTATAACTTCTTGTCAAAAAATTAAATACAATCATCTTCTCAACAATACATGAACGAATGAATTAATATGAATGAATGAATGAATAAATTAATCATCAAAATAAGAATAAATAAATCAAAGCAATCTCAATACCAAATACTTGATAAAATTAATAAAAATTTCAAAAACTATTGATTCTGAAAAAACACCTGATGAGAGTCATATTTCGACTTCCAGTTAAAGCTACGTTCAGGAACAGCAGTCACACGTGCAGTACGGTATCCTCGAACCGTTGAGATCCGGCAAAACTGACACCTCGAGGCTCTATTCCTCGAAGAAAAGACACTTAATTTAATCGCTCTAAGAACGAAAAAGATATATAGAAAAAGTAAAAGAATGGAAGAAAATAGAGAAAAAAGAAAGAAAAAGAAAGAGTAAGAACATGAAATACGACGGAGACAAAGTAACTCGGTTCTTGGCCCGATTTTATTAGGTCATTTATCCACTTTTCCACGCTCGCGACAGTCTTTCACACGATTTTCTCACGGATATTTTCCCTTCACGGATGATTGAACGAAAATGTCCTGAGAATTTCAAGTGAAACGCTAGACAAATACTCTCCAGCAAATAATTCTCTCGTTTTCCGATCGAACTCCCGAAATATTCTTATAAACCGCGTGAAACGGAGCTGATGTTCGCCAGATACGCGTCTCCTGCACCCTCTCCCTCTCCTCACCCAATGACGAACAGTCAACAAAATTATGATGGTGTGGTAGATCTATTCATTCAAATGTACATGTATATTTAATAGTCAATGTATGTATTCATTTGGTAGATATAGTAGAACTTTGTTATTTTTGAAACAAGTTGGGTTGGATAACACAGGATGAAATTGTTTTTTCAGTTATTCATGTAATATGAATAGAAATGATCTTTCATAGAAATTTTTAAGCTGTTAAAGCTGAACTTAAATAACAAATCTTTTAAAATATTGGTTTTATGTTATTATTTTCACTGATTCTATATATTTTAGTTTAGTAATATAATTTTTGTTTTCAGCAAATAATATTTTTTTATCGTATAAAAATAATTTTGAATAAAAATATTTGATTTGGAATAATCAAAGAATATTATCATTTCACAAATATTTTTAATTTATTTATTTATATGTCATTTTATATATTTCTTTTTAAAGTATCAAGTATAGTATAGAATTAAAAAAAATATATAATAATATTATTATAATAATATTAGAAAATAAAAAAATATGCATAAAGACAATGTTTGAAAAGAAATTGAAACTTCATAAAGTTTGCGATCAATAATCTCAAAAAATTAATTTTACAGAAATTATTTGTTGTATAATCTGGAAGATATTAAAGTATATATAGTCATTTTATTATTAGAAAATAATTATACAATTTTGATTTTTTTTATTTTGCTCCATTAAATAATTCAGCAAAAATGAAATCTCATCCAAATTTCATCAACTCATTTAAGGATAGCTTTAATGATTAAGTAGAAATGAGAGTTTTCTGAGATTTTTATTTAACTATATATATTCATAATTTAGAATATAAATTCAGATATTTTCATTTATTTTTGTTAGTTTCAATGGGAATTGATGTTCAGAAGACTGAAGTTAAATTAAATAGATTTATGTATTTAATTTGAATTAAATTCTGTAATCTGGATTTCAAAATTAATCTCCTAAGATGATATAGAGAGAAGAGATAAAACAAATAGTACTTTCATTTACTCACAATCACATAGCTATATAATCTTATTTGTAGATGTAAAACTTTCAACAAATATATTATATATAGATATATATATATCTATGATTGTATAAAAATTATCCAATCAAACTCCTCTTCATTTGAGAGGACTTTTTTTTAGATTTATATAGTATCTAACATATTCAACTTGTTTGTATAAACATAGTCTTACTAGATTTTTAAATAATGAAATTTAATCGAAATCGTCAGAGTTATTATGACAATTATTATTATATTAATATATTCTCTCTAAATAAAGAGACAATAAAGTCAGATATTAACCCTGACCATTGAAATTTTAATAAAATGTAATACATATTATAGTAATGTATTATAAAAAACATTTATTAAACTTCTCATATGAGCGATATAATTAAATAAAATTTTAAGATTTAAAATCTTATTCAAATCCATACATTGACTATATAATAAGTACATATATTCATCAAATCTTATTTCATTATTATAATAATAGTATTCGCAGCAAGAGAATACTTTTTATCCTCTACATACGAAGCTTTTTTTCAATTATAATATAGATCCTCCTGTTTACCTGTCCGCCAGACAACGTCCCAATGTTTCTCTATATCAGTCTTGAAACCGAATCAAAACGCCAGGAACTTTCTTTTTCAGAAGACATCAAAAGGCGGAAGATCGGCGACTGTTAATCCACTGTTGGTCAGATGATCGTTTTCCATGTCCTCGTCAACGGTTCGAATAGACGTTACTGGTAAGAACGATCACATCGGTCCTTCTATCAGGTTCGTCACGACCTCCGAGGAGGAGGGCGCAGAGGAGGCGTCATATGCTTAACGAAGGCCTCTTTTTGCGGTCCTTCGTCGTATTCTTGCCAAAGATGGTGCCGAGCACCCTCGAGACCGAATGGACACCCAATTTCCGACGGATAGGAAGTGCTCGGAGCAATTGAACCGATCTTGCCTCGCGGAGCAGCGCTTGGAACGCCAGTGCTGCCCCCGCAGGACTTTCCGCCGCACTAACCTCGTAAAATTGACATCCATGCGCCAGGGATAGTTGCTGGCCCTCGTCCACGCATACCTCTCTGGAACAGAATAATTGGTTCTTGATCAATTCTATTGACGAACTTATTATTGACGAATTATTTTTAAAAAATGAGAGAAATAAATTAAAAAGATAATAGTATATATATATACAGTACCGGATAAATGTATTCGGACAATCTAGTTTTTGTGTTTCTACGTTTACGTATTTTTGGTACAAATATACTGCAGATTGTTTACTATTAGTGTATCATTGACCAGCATACGGTGATATTTCCGTTTTATTATATGTAAAATAAGTTTTCTTTTGTATTTGTCTGAACAAAAGTATTTGGATGTTTCAGTTTGTATAATTTATATTTTAAATTTTAAATAAATTAAATTGCTAATCTTATTTTTATGTTTTTATTTAATTCTTCCTAATATAGTGTGAGGATAAAGTTTAGTAAAATCTATAAAGGAAAAAATTATAAAAATGTTAAACGATGGAGAGCCATTATCTGATATATCATGACGTTTTGATATTCCAAAGCAAACCGGTACATTATTAACAGTTTATGCAGCTAGATCACTTAAACAACTTATCCAAATATGGACGACCAAGAAAAATATCAATTAAGCAAGATAGAAAAATATGAAGATTGTCAATAGCTGATCTGCAAAAGATTGCAGTAGATATTCATACAAGTATGAAGAAAACTGATGATTTAAATATAAGTGTACGATGTCGTTTAACGTCTTTCGATTACATGAACGACGCAGAGTAAGAAAACCACTAATTACGAACAAGAATTGCTTAGCTCGATTTAAGTTTGTTTGTGAACAGCTTCAGTGATTAATAAAAGATTGAAGTAATGTGCTGTTCAGTGATGAAAGCAAGTTTCAATTATTTGGTTTTGATGGAATTCAATGGATATGTCGTCAAAAAAAATGAAAGACATTTGCTATCAAATTCTAACAATTAAAAATGGAAATAGAAATATCATGGTCTGGGGTTGCTTCTTCAATCAAGATATTGAATATTGAAGATATTGAATATGAGAAAAATTCTGTCAAAAGTGGCAAGACATTTTCCCTGCTATAATATAGAATCTTTTGAGATCTATGCCAAAGAGGATGCAAAATAGTTATTAATTCAAAAGATTTTTTTATAAAATATTAAATTATTTTTATCATTATATTTTTCATTATGGATAAAATATGACCAGTTCATTTATCTTTCAATTTCTCTAATATTTAATATTTATCCAAATACTTTTGTCAGTTAAATTAATGTTCATTATTTAATAATATATATTCTATGTTACAATTCATTAAATTTATTAATACAAATTATTTATTACCCCTCTCTCTATAAAATAATTAATTAATTTAATATTGATATGTTATATTATTCATAAAAATGTAAAAAATGTATTTTTCCAATACTGTATATATATTATTGAATTTTTAAAAATGGATTTGAATTAATCTAACTTTAAAATATAGTTAACTTTAAAATATTGTCTTTCTTAATAGAAATTTATATTTATATATTATAGAAATACCATTTTCTATATATTATAGGAATACCATTATACTATAATATTATATATTATAGTATAACTTGCGGAATTTAAGAAATGGTATAACTTTAATTTTTTAAATTATTAATATAAAAAAAATTTATTACTTATATTTTTTATTAATAGAATTATTAGTAGCTGTAAATGAGTTCTCAAATTTTTGAACTTTTAATTTAGCTTTTTGATGAGATTTTTATGCAATTTAAATCATCAAAAATCATTTTTTCTAAAATTGTAATTTTTCAATTATATATGTATGACATTTTATAAAATATATATTATTTTACTATCTTGCTTTTTTTTCTATTCTTTCATCTAATATTTTAATTTTACAATTTATAAGTATTAAGAAATGAAGATGTTTAGGAGTTTATGTTTCAATAATATGTTTCTTAAAATATACAAGTAAAATCTTTTTTGATAAATTAAACAAAAATCAATTTAATTAAAGAATTGTACAAATTTCTATAAATACAATATTTCAAACTAATTTAAAAACTAATAATATTCATAATTATTACTAAAAAAATTGTTATTAGCTAATTTTTATATTATTTCCATCGTTTCATTAATTTTAATCTTTATTCTCACTATATATAAAAACAAAATTTACTAAATGTTGTAATTTAATTGTGATATTGTATTAAAAATATATTGTATAATTAAAAAAATCCTCAAATATAATATGATGATAACTCGAAATAATTAAAGAATGAATCCAGATAAACTCGACTCAATGGTTTTTCAAATGATCATTCAAAAGAATCAAACCTGTTAATATCTCTCTTGTCAATATGAAATTATTAAAGATTAAATTATTCAGACATTGAACAGATGGTACATAATGATGCTGCGAGGATAATGTCGTTTGTGAGAGAAGAATTTAAACGACCTTCGCTTTGTATATTTATTAAAAACAATTTGGCGTGGCTGGGGTCTCAATGTCTTGGGACTTGACATTTTCCAGCCATGCAAATCTCAACGGCAACCAATATCATTCTTGAGAAGAATTATCGCAAACATTTCTCAATTTCTTCAGAGAACAGCGAACTCTGTGGGTGGTGTAGCCTCTTTGTCTTATTCTAGGAATTTTTCTTAGATGTCGCTCAATCAGAGGGCTGATATATAATGTAATTCGTGTACTCTATCGAAAATCCACGATTTCGCGAAATAAGCATGAAGAGTTTCAGAAGATATGAGCGTTTTGGAAGAATTTTTTGAATTTCAAAATTTTAGAAACCTTTTTAACTTTTTAAAATTCTTTCAACTTCTATTTTGATTTTAAATTGTTTGAATCTCAAAACTTTTATATAAACTTTGTGCTTGATCGCTTTACAATAGAACTTGTTAACACTTTGTAATAAATTAATTTTATTACTATATACCATAGCTCCAGAAATTAGATTGGAACTAACATAAACTATTTTCAAGATGTTTTTCATTATAGATATTTATTATTACATAATTATTTTATAAAAAGTAAGCATTATATAAAAGAAACAAACATTACAGAAAATAAATTAATTGTTTTTAGACATAGTAAATTCGTATTATTCGAACACGTGTTCCAGAATATAAACGCTGTATTCGGTTAATTAGTTATTTGAATAATGATATTTCGAATAAGTGATATTTTTTTTATATTTCAAAATGTTGTTCAATAATTTTCTGTCAAAAATTTTTATCATTACTAGAATCATCGATAAATTTTAATGAAATCATTTATTATATTTTTCGTGAAATTTTTAAAGAATTAAAATAATTTTAATTTCGGAACGTAAGAATCATTATATATGGAGAAATAAGAAGGAAACGAAGAATTTTCGACGGAGTAACGATTTCTTGGAAAGTCGCAAAGTCCGTAAATTCTGGCTGTCGCGGATGAACGGAAGTTGTCAAGGTCCGCGAAACGGAAATCGAAACGAATGGACTGGTCACGATTTCTTGGCAAATAACGTGTTCCAAACAAACGGAAGCAAAGGAAAGTGAGTGAACACGACCATAAAACTTACGAAAAGAATGTTGGAATTTCGCCAGGCTTGTTTTATTTATAATCATTACTAATTTACTTTCGAAAACTTTGAAATAAAATATTATAATTATAATTAAATATAGTTTGAATGATAAATATCTATGTTTAAAGAAGTATGAATATATTAATTCATTATTATTCATTATTTTTTAGTGCTTCACACGCGTTTCTTCATTCAGAAACGATTTTAATTTATTGTTCGAAAATGATAAAAAAATTTTCATAGTCAATAAAGTATTTTCACATTTATGACAAATTTATATATTTTTTTACAGTTATTTACTTTGCATGCATTGTTCTTAATAATTTTTAATTGTCTTAGAGTTTACTTTAAAAATTTTCCTGACATTAGATAAAATTTTTATAAAATTTGTAATAAAAATATAAAAAGAATTTCTATATTATATAATGTAATTTAGTAATGTATTAAGTGATTTATCAAATTTTTTATTATTTTACAAAATAAAAATGCTTTCTCGTTTTTAATAGAATAGAAAATGAATTTTTTTTATTAATGAATTCTTATTAATAAATAATAATTTGCATATTTTATTATTTATGGGTTACAGAAAGTAATCATTGCTTTTGATATTTTACTATAAATCGGAGATAATTTCAAAAACCTGAATAATTTGTAAAAAAATTAAAATTACTAATTATTGTAAATAATTATTATAAAAAATATATATTTTTAAATTACTGTTTCTTTTTTTAATTTTAAATGAAAGCAATAATTTTATAAAATTTTTTTAGCAAAAATTTTATAGATTTTTCTTTTTAATTCTCTTAAAATTGTTTTAAATGAAACTATTCGTTTTTGTTGCAAAATTTTAAATTTTAATTAATTAATTTCTAGAGATGTTAATATAAAGATTATGATTTGATTCTTCTCTTTTTTAAAAAGAAACAATTTTTTTATTTAAAGTTCCTTTGTACGTCCGTTAATTTCTTAATATAAAATAGATTTTTATTTCCTTATTTTAAACATTATTTATAATATATAAATATATAAAAATATGTATTTAAATATTTTTCAATGTTCTATTTATATACTCTATTAATATTATATCTTAATATCCATTATTAACTAAATAATTAATAACTATTTTATTATTTTAAAGATTTTTTCCAGAGTTTTTTTCCAAAAATAACTTACAAAATAATATTAATTTCAATTTCATTTACTTCATTTACTTCTTATATAGATACATAAAAAATTATATATTAAAGAAAATTCTCTTTTATTTTTAAAATTATTATTTCTAATTCTAATTTCTAATTCTATAAAACATGCATATAAAATTTTATTTATCAAATTACAAATTAAAATAATAATTTCAAAGATAAAATTTCTATATTTACAAAATACTTAAAACAAAAATTCCAAAAATGATATTATCATCCGTATAAAATATTTTTTCGTACATCCTTTTAAAAATATACG